TTAATTAGATACCTGAATGTGTTTATAATAATGTAAATCAAAGTGAAAAGAAAACTAGGGGACGTATCTATATTAATTTAGACATATGCACATATATTTGTTTAAAAATAAAAGAAAAGTCAAATTTTTGATAGCTTTTTAATTTCCATTTTATGTGTATATTTATGTTATTTTTCTATAAATTTCAAATGACCTTTTTTGAAACATATTGTTCATTAAAATATACATTTTTTTTTACATTAATTTCTAAGGAATTGTCTGTGAATTTTCTAGTAAAGTTTTTTAAATTTCCTGCTCTAAACATATATCGTTACCTTTTAACATTATAAAAATATTTTCAAGACTTTATTTTTTTATTTTACAAAATTGGTCAGGAAGCGCGCGGGCGGTAAATCCAGAAGCGTCTGACCTAGAATAAGCGACTCTGGTCTGCGTCTGATCCCTGAGGGACGGCAGTTTTTGAATCCTGGCAGTAGGTATAAAATGCTAACATTAATCATTTGTGCCATGGAGAAAAAGAAGGATTTAGTACCCCAGGTGGTAGTCCAATCACGTTGGAGAATCCACCCTCTTTGGAGGTCGGCTCTTCGGATTCTGGGGAGAGCCATTTATTGCATTTGATTGATCCGTTCAGGAGGAACGCGAAAACCCGGCGTTCAACACCTACATCTGATGTGCGGATTTTAGAAAAAAATAAAAATATAGAAGGTGGACTACCAAACACTCAAGCTCCGCAAACCAATAAGGATACAAACATGAGTAAAGCTCAAGCCAAAAAAAGTCATGATCAGAATGCTGACATACATAAAAAGATTAGCCAACTAGAACCGCTCTGTGTGGCTTTGAAAAACGAGGTTCTTCAACTGAAGAACCTGGCTGAGACTCAGAAGCTAAAGAAAGGAAAACGTGTGCGAATTACAAACAATAAGTCTAATGATAGTAGTCATAAAGAAAAAGACGTTACACCACAAGCAAAGCAGGTTTAAGAGGTCAATCCTGAACGCCTACTCAACAGATGAGGAAGAACTCGCCAGAGAAACAGATTGGATCCTAAAGCAAAAGAGATCCAGTAAAAAAAGAAAAGCGGAATCATCTCATCATTAAAAAATAGGGACATCAATTATAAAATTAAAATGATAAATAACAATCAATTTAAGCTTATTGTGAATTCCGAAATGGATTACAGGAATCTTACAAGGGCCATGAATGGATCTGGATTAGAACAGCATACCTATGAAAACAAGCAGGCCAGACCAATAAAAATCATGGTAAGAAATCTTCACCCCAGTTGTAAACCGGAAGATATAAAAGAAGACCTAAGCTCTAGGGGTTACAAGATCTTAGCTGTAACCAAAAAATAAAAAAAATAAAAGAAAATGGGAAAAAGCTTATGGTGCCTCTACCCCTGTTTATGTTTACATTCTCAAATGACGAGGAGATGAAAAAACTTTATGAAATAGATCACATAAACAGGATGAAAGTTAGGATAGAGGCACTTCGAAAGGATAGGACCATTCCGCAGTGTAAAACACAACACAAAAAGGCATACACAAAAATTTTGTTAGAGAGAACCGAATTACGTTAAATGTACCGGCAGACACTTAAGATCAGATTGTAGTAAGCCAAAGAGTACTGCAGCAAAGTGTTCCAATTGCTTGGAGGCCCACGCAGCAAACTATAGGGGATGCCTTGTAGCTAAGGAACTGCAAAAACCTAGAAATAAGAACAGCAACAACAACTTGAAAAAGAATTCTGACCCATTCAGAGAAGATGTAACATACAACGACGTTCTCCAAACGAAAACAGATGACGGTGGCACGAGAAATAAACCAAGGGCCAGTGACGCGAATGTTTTGTATAAAATGCCAAATATGATGCAAAACATGCTAGATATGATGGACAAAATCTCTTAGAGACTGAGCATTTTAGAGAGCGAAGGGAAAAATTCGAATACCAAAAGACCTGGTAAATGATGGCACGAGGTAATTTTAAAATAGCAACATGGAATTGCCATGGTATTGCAAATAAAAAGGACATGCTTAAAGTTTTTCTACATACACAGAATATAGACATGTGCCTTGTAACTGAAACACATATGACCTTAAAAAGCAGCATTCAGTTTCCGGGTTATAGAATTTACATCAGGTGCAAACCGAGGGAATGCAAATGACGGCGGTTCAGATTACTTCGACTAAGCAAAAATTTAGAGTGGATACATTATATTGTCATCCCAGATTGACAGCAGAAATGTTTCAAAACGTTCTGGCAGACGGAAGCGTTAGATTTATATTGGGGGGTGACTTTAACGCCAAGCACACTGATTGGGGTTCAAGGCATACTTCAACTAGAGGAAGAGAACTTAGGATAGCAATTATCGCGGGGTGCCTTTTTCACTTTACTGCGAAGCCAACGTATTGGCCAACCGATGTTAATAAGTGTCCAGATTTAATAGATTTCTTCATAACAAAACAGATTGCGAAAAATTTCGTTGAGGTATATGATAACTATGATCTTAACTCTGATCATTCAGTGGTTATTCTTGAACTTAAGGAAAATATTGTAATGAAAAGGGCGAAACCTGCGCTGACAAATGGAACTACAGATTGGTCAAGATTTCGCTTAGAAATTGAACAGCACATAGATGAGGAGGCCGAAAACCTTACTAAAATTATTCAAAATGCAGCTTGGAGTAGTTCAAAAATTAATGCTATTAGAAGTGGAGGCATTAACTATCCCCCACATATAGTAGCAAAAGTAAGACAAAGCAGGCGGGTGAGAAAAGGTAATAGCAAACGCGTGATCCTACTGATAAAACCAGATATAATCGTGAATCGCAACAACTAAGACGCTGTACTAAAAAATGCAAGGAGGGCAGCACTGCGCAGACTCATATCCAATCTATTCAAAGATTTCAAAATAGGCACATTGTAAACGTCCCCTTGGTATGTCCGTAATGCCGATATGCACAGCGATGACACGAGCCTAAGTCTCACAGACGAAATTGAAAAGCAAGCAGCCAATAATAAAATGTTTTTATTCAATCATGTCAACATCGAGGCGACTCGATTGTTTGACAATCAAAACTTTGCTAGAAGACCTAAACGTACGAGATCTCTCGAGTTAATTTAATGTTTTTTATCTGGAACAATGAGTACTTAGTACGCTATTGTGTCAGATCAAAAGCTTGTAAATAATCAAAAAGGTTAGAGCAAAGTTAATGGTTAGTCGTTTCCGACTAGTTTTTAATTTATTTTGAGGAGGGTGTTTTTTAGTGGATTAAAGTTCCACCCTACTGCTTTTCGTCTGGCAGTGTATTTCGAAATTTTTCACCCTTCCACTCGGTGAAAAAAAAAAATAAATAAAGTTGGGTCAAACCAATGGTTTGTATTGTAGCACTTTTCCCTTCAACAAGTGAAAATACTGCTTTTAAAAACAGTCTATGTATATCCACCACACTATTAAAATTATTTTCATTTATAAACGAAACTATTTCTAGGATTGCATATATTTAGGATGAACCATTTATGCAGTCTTTGAAATAAAGCAAAAATTAATATAAACAGGGGTTAACATAACGTTCGATTTTGAGGGTTAATTGTATGAGTTAAGACAAATAATTATATTTTTTAATGTCATGGAATTTACCGTTAACTTTTTGCGTTTATAGAAATTTGAAAAAGCTTGCGGTTTCAGAAATATAAGGTGCCAAAAATGCAAATTTTACAAATTTCAAGAGGCCATAACTTGAGAGGCGGTGGAGATGGAAAAAAATTTTCTTCTAACGAAATGAACTACTTGTTAATGTCTAAAAGCCCCTAAAATTTCAAGCTTGTACAGGCTGGGGTCTAGAAGAAAAACGACATCAAAAATTTGGAAAAAAAGGATTTTAGATAACGGTAAATTTGAACGGCCATTTTGTTTTTATAAAGTTTAACTATAGTATACCGCGGTAGGGGAAGCAAGCTACTCCTTTCTGCGTTGGCAAAATTTCAAAAATGCTTATGGTTTCATTGCAACAAATAGTTAAAATAGGCCATTTTTAGTGCTTTGGGGGGGTATAACTTCTAGAGGGGGGGAGATAGGTAAAAATTTTGTTCTACGAAAATAAGTTTCTAGTAAAGATCTATGTACGTATTAAATTTCAGCTTTCTATCTTTAAGAATGTAGAAGTTTTGTAAACAGACACACGGACAGACGGACGGACGGACGGACGGACAGAGTGAAACTAATAAGCACTTTTTTTCAAAAAATTTTTGGAAAAGTGCTAAAAACTAGGTTTAATTAAACATCCCTCTCAAATTGTTAGATAGTTTAAGTGAAACTCTTCTTGCTGTTTGGTTTAAAGTTAAGTAATTTACTTATTAAAAATTTGACCCATTTATACAAAAATTATGCTACTTAAAATTCATTATTTCCCACAAAAAAAAAAGTCAAGTAAACAATTTTGTACATTTATAAAATTCATAATTTTCCCATGTTAACTTACGTATAACATCGGTTTCAAATTTACTTAAAGTAAAATTAAGAAACAAAATATGTGTAATTTGTTTTCTACTCAAATATTGTAAAGTTATGTATGGGAAAATATTTACAGAAACTAACTATAATGTTTGCAAATGCATGTGCGTTAGTATTAGGTTTTGACAAATTAGAATTTTAGCGATTTTGGTACTTTAAATAAATGGGAAAATAATCCCCTCTATTATGTATCGGCCGATAAACGACAATTTATCGGCAAAATTTTGTGTTTGTATTACCAACATTGTTTATCGGTAAATTTTATCGGAGTCGGGAAAGCTTTTTCCCTGTATAGGAAACGTATTAGCTGGTATTATGAAAACGATAAATTGTCAGGTTTTCCCCGATTTAAAAGCGGGTACAAATTTTTAGACTACAGATTTTTTTTTTTTGTAAAATCTTCATTTTATCAAGGGAACTGGTGTAATTAATTGCTTTTTTAAAATGTAAGCATTTTTTCTAAATTATTTTCTTTCAAAATGTTATTCATATATTTTATTTAGGAGTAAAATCGTAAGATATGATATTCGTATGATATTCCGCCCTTGTGCATGCTTTTTGTTGAAACGAGCTTCCAAAGACGCCTCCTCAGTATTTCTGAAAGGTGTTAGCATATATGGTACCAAGGGATATCCTGAATATCCTACAATCAAACATTTCATTTGTTATTTTTTTATTTTTGCAGAATATGTGTATGTACTCACCCAGAAATTTAAAATCATTTCGCCCACTACGATAATCACTCTCAATTTTAGCTTTTAAAGCTGGCACGTTCCGAATATGTGAATCGTGATAACTTCCTGGGTATTTGGCATTCACATAACGTATGTTCATTACGTGGTCACATACCTAAAATTATTTTTTATTATCAATTTAATTTAGGTAATTATTAAAGTAACTTACTATCAATGCATTAAAACTACAAAATTCTTTTCTGTTGTAGTATAAATGTTTTACTTCTTCCTTTGGACTTATTATTTTTATGTGACTTCCATCTGTACAACCCACAATATTTGGGAAGCCCGTTTTTTCGTAAAAATAAATTTTGGCACGTCGTTCTTCTTCTTTACTGTACTCAAATTTAATCCACTTCGGACATGAACGCCTTTCAACTGCGTTGAACACCTCTTTTAAACAAACTGATACAGTAGGTTGAGCTAAACCTAAATTAAAATCGTTGCCCACGCTCAGTTGATAGCTTCCTTGTGCACAAAATTTTAAAGCACATGCCACCTTTAAAATATTAGGTACAGCGCGTTCAGTTTTTGTTATTTTAAGTTGGTTTTCTACTTCATTCAATAAATCTCGAAAAGCTTCCTTCGATAATCTGAAATTCTGGATAAACCTAAAAAAATATGTACATATTATATAAATAATAAAATAAAATAGGTACATAAACATACATTTTGCTGTCTAAATCCAATGGATTAGTTGAATCTCTTATATGTCGTCTTTGAATAGCTTGCGTTTCTTCACTTACTACCGTTTCTTCACTTTCAAAATATAATGCACGCAACATTTTCCCGATATACATATGTATATTTTTATTTTACAAATTTAACAGAAAATAATTTGCTTACAACAACTTTTTAGCACATCAAAACCAAATTCAAAATAATTTTTAAAATTTTTTGAAAATAACTTTTGAAAGAAAACAAATGTCATTAGAAAAAAAAACCTTTTTCTCCAATTTACAAAAACAAAAATTTGTATGAAAAAGCTTCTTTTAATCGGTTGAAATATTTTTATCGGTATCGGTTCATAATACAGAAGAAAACTAAAAGCTCGAAGATGAGACTGCGGAATTTCTTGTGGAGCTCTCCATTTGGTGCTAGTATGATTATATAGGTGATGGTGCTATTTACATAGTACACCACATTGTGAACATAAACTAGTTGTTCGTTTGTGTTCAATCGATGTAGTTGTTCTTCAAACTTACTGACATTTCCTGAATACCCAGAATTTATTTCGTCTAATTGATGTTGTGGTAGATTGTGGATAGAGCTTACGAACTTGGTGATATTCATATCAGGAAGATACGTTAATTCGACTTGACTGGTAATAGCATTGTATGAAGAAATTGTCATTGTTGGTTTTTTCAATTGGCAGTTGTGAAATTTTAAGACTCCTGCTTGCTGTAACGTTAAACTGTTTGTATTGTTGTTACGAATTAAGTTGAACGTTTCTGGTGATTTTCACAGAAATCTTTATTTGCTGCCGATTCATCTTTGAAATCACAAAACTGTCAGGTAATTCTGTCTGGTGATCGAGTAGTTGAATTTCACATTGAGCAACTTCGGATTTTTCGTTGTCTATAGGATGCAACTTCCGGCAATAAAATTTGTTGATGTTAAAGAATAGACAGTTTTTAAACTCAATTTCCTTAATTGGATAATATGAGTCACGAAATTAATTAACAATGATGTATTCCGATGATGGATTGGTAACTACAAAATCGTTCTCATGAAATGTTGGTATCGGGACTATGTGGAAATTTGAAACAATTCTGCTTGTAGGAACGGAATTTAGCATTGCGTTCGCCCTCGTATTTTTAATAATTTGTATAGTTGCAGAAGATGCTATGTATTTTTGACTTCGGTAACATAGCTACCAGGCCGAATATGACCTCTTATGATGGACAATTGCTTTCTTAAAACTTTTGGAGAGATTTTAATGCGACGGTTAAGCCCTTGTTTTGTTGATGTCAAAGCTACTAAGATTGCGTTTTGTTCTTGTTCTAGTTCTTTAATCATTAGGACAAGTGAAATAGTGGCAGCGACAAGAGAGTAATCAGATTCTGTAGCATTCTGAATACTAACACTTCAATCTCTAAATCTCTCATCAGATAGTTTCACTAAATTGAATCTGGTCTCTAGTAAAGATGTGTAATTTTTTAATAACTCCCACGTGGTATGATTACTTATTTTTGCATCATCAATTTTGTTTTCTAGTTCTTTAGCTATAACTTGGTCTAGGATGCCAAAAAGAATATTTGACGGCTTTCTAAAAAAATCGAATGGTGATCGACGTACTCGTTCTAATATCAATCCAGCACCACCTTTATATTGAAAAAGTTCGTTGTTTTACTAGTTAAACCTAATGCTCATTCATTGAACATTGACTAGGTTTAAACAAAAATGAGCAATTCGTTAAAAGAATATCAGATATTCTTTGTAGATCTCTTAAATTTTGATAATAAGTACCTTTAAATCTTGATAATAAGTCTCCTATGCCTTCAAAATACACTCCTGGTTTATTTTTAAACGGAGTGGCACAGTATAGGGATGAAACCTTGGGTAGGACTATCGATGTGAGCAAAAGTAAACCAATTATTTTCATCGGTGAATTAGTCTTTTTCTGTCTGTAGATTTTTTGACGTTCAATTAATTCTTCTATTGGTGGTCTTACAGGAAACTTGGTTCATTTACTTACTTGTGATAACTTATGTAAGGCCGGGCGACATTACTTAATAATGCAAGTTGAAGAGGAAGGTAAGTTGCAAAGGAAGGCAAGTTGCAGAGGAAGGCTTGGTTCTGATAACGGCGTTTGCATGATTTCAGCTGCATTATGACTTGATACTACTTTAGGCGATTCGTTATTTGGAATTTTCACCGGTAGAAGTATAAAAGACGTAATCGGGCGTTAATTTCTCCATTTTTTTTCTTAGGTGTGGCTATCCTTGTAGGATCATTTTGGTTTTTATATTCTTCGAAAATTCTCCCTTAAGTCCATATTGATGGAGGTATCCAATGAGCCCCTTGTTAAATTATATTTTGGTTGTTGCCACTTCTTACGTACTTGGAGTCTATGTAGGTATTCATTTGACGATTTTTTCCAGAGTTGCTGATTTATTTGCTCTACAAGTTCCCACACCGAAGCCGATTTTCTAAAAGGGTTTCTAATTCTTCAAATATGAGTTTAGTATCGCCAATAGTTTTTAAGAGATGAAGTTTTATCGATTTTACTGCAGCTTCCCATAGTCCACCAAAAAAGGCCTGAAGAAATAAAATGCCATTGAATTGACTGTTCTGATATAAAATGGCCCAATTTCTCGTTGGGGTTTAACTGGTTGTACGCTCCTATAAACTTTGCACCATTGTCACTGTAAATATGCGCCACATTTCTTCGTCTTGCAATAAATCACTCTAATGCAGCAATAAAGGCCTCACTGGATAGCGCGGGTATGGCTTCAAGAAAAATCGCTTTAGTTATGAAGCAAACAAACACACAGTATAAGATTTTATTATCTTGTCGTTACGCAACGTGTTTGGTTTATGTTGTATTGGACCAGCAAAGACACAACCCATGTGAGTAAACGGTGGAGAAATGGTAACTTTGGACGCAGGTAGATTACCCATAAGTTGGGTGTTTGGGCGTGCGTTATATCTGCAACAAACGACACACTCCACTATTCGTTTTTTAACTTTGTGGAGTCTGTTGGTAATTCAAAATTTTCCCAGGATCCATGACATGGCTAAATCCTTCCCCCCATGAAGCGTTTTTTGGTGTGCTATTGTTAAATACGTCAAATGACTAGAACCTAGTATTATAATAGGATGTTCAGAATTGTCGTCGATATTTGCTCTTCGTAGTCTGCCTCCAACTTGTTTTTTATCAGGCAGCTAATTTCTGTGTTGTATACAGTTTGTTTTAGCTTGATTATGGAATACAGTGCAATTTACAATTCAGTTGCTATTAGTTGTCAAGTATTCTTCCTTTTTGGATTTTTTGCATTATTACAAAATCTTTGACAGAAGGCAATAGTTCTTTGTAGCCTTGGGAATGTTAAAAATCTTTCAATGGAAAGAGTTTTGATTGGTGTTCTTGTTGACGTAAGGGAATTAATTTTTAACTCCAACTGTGTTGGTTAAAGTGCCTTGTCTGTCACATTAATTGTGTCAATATGTACCCATGCTGATCCTGTCCACCACAATTTGTTTTCACTAATTTGTTTCGGACAGATTCCTCTTGAAGCCTCTTAAATCCGCAGTCGTATTAACATAATTCCACATAATCTTCCTCGGTGATTGTTGAATGACTTTGACGCGATTTGCAACCAAGATTTTCCTCTTGCTTGGGTTTTCCTATAGCTAAGAAAGTACTATTTGGCAATTGTTCTATGCATACAGTACTATATCTGATATTTCCAAATCATCTGCAACCTTATTAAGCAGTTTCATTAGTAATTCTGCTCCTTTTGGATCTTGGTGCAGTCGTGAGTATTCTAGTCCAGCATATACTCTACCTGAAGCGTCATAGGGCACAGAACCTATAGAGTTCAAGTGGTTTGCTTGAAGTGTAGAAAAGTCACCTCTGAACTTTTACATGATCTATAAATTGCAATTGGTTTCGAAAATTGATATATTTATTATGTAGACGCGACGGAAATAGCTCACACTAATCAACATTTTTGTTCCATATGTCTTGTAGAATCATTTTGGTGCTATCCAGCCAAGTGGGTCAAAAAATCTGGAAAATTCGGAGAGTACAACCCTTTTTGTAGTATATTTTGGTTTGCTCGGAAGGTCTATTATTGTTCTAAACTCGTCTTCTTTTGGGTACCATCGTATTCCTAATATTTTACATGACTCAGTTTGCGTATTTCCCATTTCAACGCATTTTGTCGGCATTGTATTGTATACGAGTTGTGGGTTGTTACCTGCCCATTTGTAGAGCCTAAACCCAGCGTTTTTCAGAACGCTTACAAGTTGTAATTTGCCTTGCACGGCTTGCTCAACTGTATCGCTACTTAATATTACATCATCTACATACATATCGGTTCCTTAGATTTTTGCTGCTACTGTAAGCGTATTTTGTTCATCTGTGCTTAGTTTAAGCAGAGTTTTAATATGGAGCTGCAAATGTTCCGTATGTAACGTATACTCGTTGAATCGGATCATTTGATGAATATCTCCAGACAATTTTTTGCAAATTCCTGTTTCCGTCATTGATTAATATCTGGCATTACATTTTTTCAATGTCTGCCGTATAAACATACTTTTGTTATCTCATCATTAATACTAATGTTGTTTTGTGACTTACTGTATCCATCAAACACAACATGAGGTTTCATAACTAAGCTTTCTTCTTTCATAACTGCATGATGTGGTAAAAAGTATAAAAAGTATGATTCATCTTGGTTGATTCATATTCTCGCATGAATGCTTTTTAACTTTCGAAAAATTTTTGATTTTTTACTGTTCTTATTTAGGATTCTAGCAATATATCTCCTTTCTGCATCTTCTTCGGAATTTCGAAGAATTGTTTAATTTATGCATCAATATCATCCAGCGTAACATGACAAATTAAGCTGTTTTCAAAGGTTTTTATTGCTCCAGGGACCAGTACCAGTAACAATCCATTCAAAGACTGTTTGCTGAGCTATTGGTCGGTATAATGTTTTTTTTATTATTCCACTAAGCAATATCTCACCAATGACATCTGAGCCTAATATAAGATCAATTTTAGCTGGTTTTTCAAATTCAAGGTCTGCTAACTCTTTGTTCTTAAGGTGCCACCATTTGTTTTTATGTACCTGTTCTTGCGGCAGGATTTTTGTCAAGTTTTGTCAAGTGGTAACCGAAAATTCTTTACATTTCTGCCACATGTAATTGTTATGCTCACAATATCTTTTACAGAGCTTATTTCTTTTGTACCGATTCCAGTTATTATGGCATAAATTTTTGTTCTATTGAGTTGTAATTCATTTGAAAGTTCCTTTCTTATAAACGACGATTGCGATCCTTGATCTATTAGGGCTCGCAATGGTGTATTTTTAACACATACATTTGCTGTAGGTAATAAAACTGCCACATTTTTCGATATTACGCAGTTGTATGATTGCCCGTCCAAATTAGTAGGTGTATTTTGTGTTTTTTTTCTTTCATCATGTAACAGACTGCGATGATTTTTGTTGCATTTCATGCAAGTGCTCTTTGAAATGCACTTGTTTATCACATGATTGCTGCTTAGACAGTTTGAGCGTAAGTTGTGCCTTCTTAGAGTTGCCCAATTTCAAGTAATACTCATGTCTTTGAATTTTTGACATGAGTAAATTTTGTGCTGCTCTTTACAAATTGGACATTCT